GGGCCAAGGCCCTTGCATGAATTTCGTGCATCAGGCTCTAGTTGAGATATAAGGGACATGTTAGTTTCAGGTGTACAGTGCAATGATTCAGTATATGTACATATTGCAAAATGATCACAGTAGGTCGTTAACATTGGTCACCACGCATAGTCATAAATACTTTTCTTGTGAGGAGAACAGTATCACTTTTATTAAAATCAGGAGGGAAAAAAGATCAGATTTGTTTTATTTTGGGAAAAGTCACTTCTGCTCAGAATTCGACGTCAGGTATGGCGTAAGCTCCTAATCAGATGACTGTCTAATTACGTGAGAATGTTTCATATTCTATGTCACGTTGAGACGGGTAGAAAGATGTTTTTCATTGCAAGGCAGGCGAGCGATGCTTATAAGATTTACTTTACAAACATTGATGGTCTCTAATGTATTAAGACGCAGCAGATGTTTCCCTTATTTTATTTCCTGTTCTTATAGATAAGGCTCATCGGGCCTGCTGCTAATCCTTAGGTCCCCTTATAATTTGTTATGTTAATGGTCGCACTTTTGAGTGTCCTGAGTTTTTGTTTTTTTAAATATATTTTTATTGATATCAGAGACAAAGGAAGTGGGAGAGAGATATAGAAGCATCAATGATGAGAGAGAATCATGGATCGGCTGCCTCCTGCACGCCCCACACTGGGGATTGAGCCCGCAACCCGGGCTTGTGCCCTGACTGGGAATCGAACTGTGACCTCTTGATTCATAGGTTGACGCTCAAACACCGAGCCACACCGGCCGGCTGTCCTGCGTTTCTTTGGCGGGGAGTGCGCTGTGCCTTTAAGACAGTCAGGGGTTTGGACACAGCCTTCGGAGATGGCCTTTGTTCCTTCCTTCCCAGCGAGCAGGTGTCGTGATGGAAAGAGTATAAAAGTTCCCGGGAAGAGCTCGAGTCATTTGGTCTGCCCAGTTCTGCCTGTGCTCGTTATGGGCCGCGGTCTCCTGCTAAAGCAGCCAGAGCCGTGCCCGGGCCCTGCTCCGGCAGAGGGGGTGCCCGCCTCACCTCGAGGGGCTTTTGTTTCCAGGCAGCTCTGAAGTCTTGGATCAGTTCCACCGCCTTGGGGGTTTTATCTTCCCTGCGCCTCCTGGTTGTGCGGGCAGGACTGCAGGTTCTGTTGGGCATGATGCCCGTCCACAAGATGGCACCGTGTGACCACTGCTGGGGCAGAGGACTCTGCCGGGCGTCTCCCCAGATGCTGCCAGGGCTGACTGTGTCTCGTATTAAATATATGTAATCATGTATAGAGTGCCCTGCCCTGGGTTTTATACATGCATGTAACGCGTTAGAAGCACTCCAGGCAAGCCGTTAAGCTCATGCCATTAGGAGCTGACAGCTGACAGAGGGGAGGAGGAGGGGGGACCAGGGGAGGAGGGAGAAGGGGGTTGAAGGGAGGAGGGAAGAGGGGGGACCAGGGGAGGTTGGGGGAAGGAGGGGAGGAAGGGGGTTGAAAGAAGGAAGAGAGGAGGGAGGAAGGAGGGAAGGAGAAGAGGAGGAGGGGGAACCACGGGGGAGGAGGGGGGAGAGAGGGAAGAAGGGGGGAGTGGAAGAGGGGGACCAGGGGAGGAGGAGGGCAAGTGGAGGAGGGGGGAGGAGAGAGGGGGGCGGGTGGGGAACCAGGGAGGAGGAGGGGCAACCAGGGGGGAGGGGCACGCAGAACTCAGCAATCTTTCCCAAGGACAAGATCATTGAGCTGTTGTTAGGCCCACGTCAGCGATTCCAGGGCCTCCCAAAGGCAATGGCAGAGGGGACTCAACAAAAGGGGAGTGTAGGGAAGGGGTGACGAGGTGGCTTGGGCTAGACAGCGATGGTGAACCTTTTGAGCTCGGCGTGTCAGCATTTTGAAAAACCCTAACTTAACTCTGGTGCCATGTCACATATAGAAATTTTTTGATATTTGCAACCATAGTAAAACAAAGACTTATATTTTTGATATTTATTTTATATATTTAAATGCCATTTAACAAAGAAAAATCAACCAAAAAAATGAGTTTGCGTGTCACCTCTGACACGCGTGTCATAGGTTCGCCATCACTGGGCTAGACAGTGCTTCTCAGGCTTGGGCCTGCGTCTGAATTGCCAGGACGGCTTGTGCCAGCAGCCCAAGCCCTTGCCCAGATAATGCCCACGGGGCTGGCCAAGGAGTACGCTCACAACCCCGGGCCGGAAGCCAGGGCACTGGGAGCCCAGCTTCCCTCTGTGGACGCTGGGAGCCGCTGAAGGTTCTGGAGTGAGGGGCAGAGCTGGCGAGCAGAGCGGGGAGGTGGGGACACACAGACAGATGGGAGGGCTGCTGAGGACCTGGGCTCCCAGAGGCTTGGCAGGCACCGAGGGCAGCGGCTGGCTTGGAGCGGGTTCATTCGGGGCCTGTTGGGCGGTGCTCCTTATGGCTTTGTTCCACGCATGTGCACATCCCAGTGTCCACCAGGCGTGCCGGGGCCAAGTCCCCGCCCCCCACACTGACGACCTTGGCCTCTCAGCCAGCCTGTCCTCTCCTGTCAGACCCGCCAAGTTCATGGGGATAAATGCAGACCTTGTTTATTTTGTGAGGCTGTGCCCATTTGCTGTGTTTGAAAAGGTTAGAAAAATAATCCAGCACTCTTTTTTTTGAGGGGAAGGAGGGAGTTCTGCTTTTTATATGAATGAACTATTTCATTGAGGCACTTATTCAGTTGCCCTTTAAAAATGAATTTTGGTATCTACATCTGTTGATCTTAACTTTGAGTGATAGCCTAGCATTGTTTGTATTTGTTATATAAACCCTGTCCCTTCAAAACAAAACAAAACACAGCACTACCTAGCATATAAAATTATTATTTTTTGAATATATTTTTATTGACTTCAGGGAAAAAGGAAGAGAGAGAGAGAGAGAGAGAAACATCAATGATAAGAGAGAATTATGGATCGGCTGCCTCCTGCATGCCCCCTACTTTGGATCGAGCCCGCAGCCCGGGCATGTGCCCTGACCAGGAATCAAACCCTGACCTCCTGGTTCATTGGTCCATGCTCAACCACTGAGCCACGCCGATGAGGCTAAAATTATTATTTTTTAAATTAAATTTATTGGGTTGACATTGGCCAATAAAATTATATAGGTTTCAAGTATACAATTCTATGGTACATCATCTGTATGTTGCCTTTACGCCTACCACTCAAAGTCGCATTGTCTTCCGTCACCATATATTTGACCCACTTAAAGTTAGTTTTAAAAGTTGAAGTGAATTTAGATTAATCTTGGTGTGCAATTCGGGGGAAAGGTTTCACGGGACCCTCGTCATAATGAATAGTTTTATCTGAGAAACCAGGGAAGCTGGTGGGAATAATCAGGGCCACAGCTTTTCAGTGATGATGAAAGGAATGTTCGTGCTGATTAAAGATGATATTTGGGCCCTGGCTGGTGTAGTTCAGTGGACAGAGCGTGGGACTTAGGACTGAAGGGTCCTGGATTCGATTCCGGTCCAGGGCACGTACCTCGGTTGCAGGCTCAATCCCTGGCCCTGGGTGAGGTGTGTGCAGGAGGCAGCCAATCGATGTGTGTCTCTCACATCGATGTTTCTCTCTCTCTGTCTCTCCCCCTCCCTTCCACTCTCTGTAAAAGTCAGTGGAAAAATATCCTCAGGAGAGGATTAACAGTAAAAAGAAAAAAAAGATCTTACATCTGCTCTTGCCATTCACTCCTGCTGCATGGGTGGGTGTGAGCTGGACCTGAGGGATAGGGACTGAGGCCCCAGGTGGCACCAGCACACTCTGTGCCCAGACTTCCTACCCAGCGTCCTCACTGGATGGTCACTGAGTGACTGGCACGCGGGTGCTGAGCGGCCTTGTCTCTTATCGTCACAGATGTACCCGTTTCAGGCCGCAGGTGCCTGCGGACAAGCAACCGGAACCTTCTCTGATCCCAAATAGGTTCATTGTGCCCCAGGAAGTTCACAGGCCTGGACAAAAGCACGCCTACTCCAGGCAAATGTCCCTGTCCCCTAACCCTTCCCACTGGGTTTCACTTGTTTATTCTTTTTATATATCTTTATTGATTTCAGAGAGGAGGGGAGAGGGAGAGAGAGAGAAACATCAATGATGAGAGAGAATCATGGATTTGCTGTCTCCTGTACGCCCCCGGGCATGTGCCCTGACCAGGAATTGATCGAACCATGACCTCCTGGTTCATAGGTTGACGCTCCATTCTCAGCCACCGGCCCGGGCTGTTTATCTGTGTGTTATCTTTCTAGAAGGAAGGACATCATGGCCCAGTAACCCCAGCCATGCCTGAGGCATTCCAGAGTGTAATGTCCCAGAGGATAAGGCACACGCCCCTCCTCCTCCCCCCAGTCTTCCTTTTCTCTCTGCCTCTGTTTTGATCAGTCTAGTCAATTTCCTTTATTAACTAGCTGTGAAGGTCTGGAGATGAGAGAAGTGATGGATATTGTAGGCCAGAGAAAGCCATCTGAAACGGACACTCACAGGGCCAGGACCTTCCTTATGAGGATCTTGAGAAATGCCATGAGGTACAGTCTTGGTCTTACAACCCCTTTACTTCTGCGGCGCGAAGAATCCGTCTGTTTTTGGTTTTAGTTCGTGGAAAACTGTTGTAAAGTCCACACTGCCCGTGTTCTGCCACCAAGGGGGTTTAGGTTGTACATGCTTTCTGGTTTTTCCTTTAATCTTCTTTCTTGCATAATGTTGTTTCTTTTTAAAAATATATCTTTATTTATTTCAGAGAGGGAGAGAGAGATAGGCATGTGCCCTGACCGGGAATCGAACTGTGACCTCCTGGTTCATGGGTCGACGCTCAACCCCTGAGCCATGCCAGCCGGGCATCAACAGACATTTAGAAAGCGCGCTTGTGCCCAGGGACGGCGGCAGCACCTGGACACGGTGCTATGCATCAAGTAGAAGTCGCTGTGACTCTTTGGCCGCCTCGGCATGACCATGTCCTGTGTGCAGTCCCTGAGTCGCATGCGCTCTCTTTCAGGAGGAACGAGCTGAGCTGGAGGCCCCACTCCTGGCACGCCACCAAGTTCTCCGACAGCCACCCCGAGACGCCCACCTGCCAGCTGTCCTCCGCCGGCGCCTGCCCGTCCTGGCACGGCCGACACCACGCCAGGTAGGCGCGCTGCCCGCACCATGGGAGGTGTGACTCTGCAAACACGCCTAGCCTCCCAGCCCCGTCGGCACAGCGCCTTCCTTGAGTTTAGAATGATTTTGTTTTTCTGATGAGAAAAAGCCACGGACACACCACTGCTGCGGGACTCTCGCAATGTACTCGCCCTGCAGGCACCTGTGCAACAGTTGAAAACAAAAGCTCGGGCACCACGGCCAGGACGGATGATTTGCTTTCCTGTTTAGCGGATGAATCAAGAGCCCGGGGCTGAGTTCCTCTGGGCCACTGGGCCGGTGGTTCGAGCCGCCCTGTGCCCACAGCCACGCCCGTCTTGGGAGATGTTTACGCGCAGGTTGAGGCCGCAGCTGCGTGGGTCGGGCAGGTGTATTTTGCAGAAGCTCCCCCAGGTGCTGCCGTGGAGGGGGGGAAGCCAGGGGCTTCCCAGCCCACATGCCAGGGCGGCTGCCAGCCTTGAGCCCACGGAGTGTGAGACGGGAGGTGGCGGCGGAAGGCCAGTGGGAGGGGAAGTGCTAGTCGACCTGGCCTACCTGGAACCTGCGTTTCACGGCCGGAGGGCCAGCGCCCGGGGAGCACGTGACACACCATGGTGGTGGGGGCTTAGAGAGGCTCCTGCTAGTCACAGGGCACTGACTGGTCCCCTCAGGTTAGTGGCCAATGTCCTCTCTGGTGTCCCATTAGAAGGATGACAGTAATAGCAAATAGTGTGGACTTTATGTGTGTGCATGGGTGTGTGCATGTGCATGCATGTCTACCCGTGCATGCTCAAATGTGTATCTATGTGCATTTATGTGTGCATGCATCCATCTCTGCACACATGTGTGTCTACGTGTGTATTTTATGCATAGGTGTGCACGCATGTGTGAGCACATGCACATCAGCACACATGGGTATCTATGTGTGTGGTTTATGCATGTAGGTGCATGCATTCATGCCATCACGTGTATATATGCATATATGTGCATGGGTGCACACACGTGTAAGTTTGCATGCATATCTGTACACATGTGTGTCTGTGCAAACATTTGTTTATGCACGTGTGCATGCATATCTGCATCCATGTGCGTACACATGTGAATGTGCCTGCACATCTGCACACATGTCTGTCTACGTGTACATGTGTTTGTGCATATGTTAGTATATGCATGTGTATGTATGTTTGTACCTATATGTGTGTGTGTTTGGGGCTAAGGTAACCATGTCAAAATCAATATTTGGCTGATAGTACTAGTCTGCTGTGAAATTGCAAAGTCCTCACGTGAAGGGAAGGCAATACGTGTCCAATGTGTATTAGTTCTCCAGCTCTTCACAGTGACAGAGATGGTGGTAATGGGAGCCTAGGGTATTTTTGAAAAACCACAGATTTTCACGGAAGTCTTCCCACACAGCTGACAAGCGGGCCTTTCTGTCATCTTTGAGCTGACTGGCTGGAATAGGCGCTCCGTGAGGCCCAGGTGGTGGTTTCTTGATGAAGAAGCAGGCGTGCTGCTCACATCTGCGTGGGAATAATCCTTACACGTTATTGACATCTCCTGGGACGTAGGTTCCCATGGGAAAGTCACCTCAGGGTGCTGGCAGGAAGGTGGGCAGGAGCGGACTCGGTTTCTGACAGGCTACCTGGTGTCCTCGAGGAAGGGGTGGGCGACGCCAGCCTCTCTCCCCCAGGTGACTTAGCCATTCACTGCGTGTCGTTTTGCTGCTCACGCGGGTTCCTCTCTCATCATGGTTCTCCCCAGACCTAAAGCAGCCACAGGTGTTTGTTTGTTGGTTGGTTTTTTGTTTGTCTGTTTTGGGTTTTGATTGTTTTAATGTTGGAGCGGGAACCCGCTCTGTTGAGCTTTACTGAGAGCGTCTAACATGCGTGGACAGTTCCCCCGTGGAGAGCGTTAGGCCTCACAGGAGAATTGATTCCTGAGTTGACCACATAGCTCCTTGCGTGTAACACACCTGATGTTTCGTTTCCTGCTCTTAGACCCCATCCGAGTTCGGAACCTGTATTCTGGCCACTCAGGTGCAGTTCTAATGAGCCCTGCACGGTTTGATCAGGTACCTGAACCCGCAGCGGTCGGTGGCACGGATAAAGCCTGTCACCTGAGTTGTCTCATCTACCAGGTGTCCTATGGGCGGCGAGTTGACACTGCTATTACTCCTTTTTAAAAAATAATGTTTTGTTAATCCTCACCCGAGGATATTTTTTCAATTGATTTTTGAGAGAGAGAGAGAGAAAAAAAAAGAGAGAGAGAGACATCAATGTGAGTGAGACACATCAATTGGTTGCCTCCTGCATGTGCCCCAACTGGGGCTGGGGATCGAACCTGCAACCCAGGTATGTGCCCTTGACCAGGAATGGAACCCATGATCCTTCGGTGTACGGGCCAAGGATTTAACCATTGAACCACATGGGCCAGGGCTGTGCTATTCTTACTTTAATAGCTGGGGTTAGGAAAGGAATGTTCTGAACTTTCCCTTTTAATTTTAAAACTGTTCTCCTTTGATTGCTTTTCTGTTCAAAATCAATAATAAAATCACTTCATACGCTAAACCAGGGGTCCATGGCGTGTTCCGTAGAGGTCAGAGGGTGACTATTTAAACGGGGTCCACAGTGTGTCCAGTGGAGGTCAGAGGGTGACTGCTTGAACCAGAGGCCCTCAGTGTGTCCTGTGGACGGCAGAGGGCGACTGTTTCAGAGTCTGTGTCCAGGGCTGTTGCGGCCACTCACGTCCAGCTGGAAAGCAGCCACAGACCGTGTCAGCAAGGGGCTGTGACCCTTCCCACCTGTGAACACTGGGACTTGCACTTCGTGTCATTTTCATGGTCTTGTCATATTCTTTTTTAAAAGTATGTTTTTATTGATTTCAGAGAGAGGAGGGGAGAGGGAGAGAGAGAGACAATCAATGATGAGAGAGAATCTTGATCGGCTGCCTCCTGCACACCCCACACTGGGGATCAAGCCCACAACCCGGGCATGTGCGCTGACCGCGAATCAAACCATGACTTCCTGGTTCATAGGTTGACACTCAACCACTGAGCCATGCTGGCCGGGCCTGCAGTGACTCGATTCTAATGCAAGCTCTCCCTCTGCTTCTCGCCTTCCCAGCGCCTCCTCCCAGGATCTGTCGGGTGTGTGGGAGCCGACGAGCCTGCAGCGCACCTCGGACCACTTCAGCTCTCTGGGCAGCGTGGACAGCCTGGACCAGCCCTCCCAGCCCTCGCCCTCCGGCCGCCTCTCGGCCGCCAAGTCCAGCGGCAGCATCGACCACCTGGGCGGCCCGAGCAAGCGGGACTCGGCGTATGGCTCGTTCTGCACCAGCTCCAGCACGCCCGACCACACCCTGCCCAAGGCCGATGCCTCGTCCACGGACAACATCCTCTACAAAGTGGGCCTGTGGGAGGCGTCACGGCCAGGTGGCCGGCAGGACCCTCAGGGCCTAGAGGAGAGGCCCGGAGGCTTCCCCCCCAGGGGCCCCCTGGACAGCAGCAGGAGCCCCCGGCCAGAGGACGTGCCCGAGCCCAAGCTGGCCACGTCGGGGCGGTCCAGCTTTGGGCCCATCTGGCACGTTCCCGATAAGAAGAGGGCACCTCCTTCCCCCCCGCCACCGCCGCCCCCTCTGCGCAGTGACAGCTTCGCCGCCACCAAGAGCCACGAGAAGGCCCAGGGCCCTTCATTCCCCGAGGCGGCCACCGCGCAGCACTTTCCTGGCCTGAGCCGGGCTCAGTCCCAGGGCGACTGGAGGGCAGAGCCCGCCGATCCGCAGCGGAAGCTGGCACGCCCTGGTGAGCGGAGGCGGCCGGAGAGCTCGGGCTGTGCAGCGGCTGCCCCCCTGGACTGCGGGTGGCCGTCCAACCCTGGCGCCCCCAGCCGGCTCCACGCCTCTCTGTCCAGCACCGACGTGCGTTTCCCGCCATCTGCCCACGCGTGCCAGCATCAGCGCCAGTGCAGCGACGAGAGCCCCTTCCTCCACGAGGGCCTCAGGGCTGCCGTGGTGCCCAGGGGGCAGCCGCGTGGCACCCTCGCTGGGGCCCTGCAGGAGGCCCCCGCCCACAGCTTCCAGGACGCCAGCCCCACCCCGGCCAGGCAGCCCAGTGCTGCCGACCGGAAGGGGGACAGCGCTGGGCAGAGCCACCACCACTCCGTGGCCACCAGACAGGGCCCCCAGGGAGGCGCACAGGCGGCTCAGCCCCGGGACAGCTGCTGGCGCTGCAGCTCCCCTCTGGGGGCCCATGCTTGTCCTGCCACACACCCGGCGGGCCAGAAGCCACGCTGTCACCCCCCTCAGCACCAGGAGTCCCTGGACGCCCACAAGGGGGAGCGGGGCGACCCAGGGGACAGAGGATTGGAGGAGCCACAGAGAGCCCCGCCACGGCGACAGAGCCGGCGTGCAGAGAGTCGGCCGCCGGGGAGAGCGGCCAAGATCTCGGCCCACGGGACGCCCCTGCTGCACTCGCTGACCCGGGATGGGCCCCGGCCCGAGGACGGCCTGGAGGGCGGCAGGGAGAGGCCAGCGCCCTTCGATGCCCAGGTGGGCAAAGCCACCCGGAGGAGCGACCGCTTCTCCACCACCCTCCGCAACGAGATCCAGCTGCGGCGCGCCCGGCTGCAGAAGAGCAAGAGCTCCGTGGCGCTGGCGGCGCCCGCCGAGGCCGCTGGGGAGGCCGGCAGCTGGCGGGGGGCTCTGGGGGGGCCTGCCCCGGGAGCTCCATTGCTGGGCACCTACAAGGACCACCTGAAGGAGGCCCAGGCCCGCGTCCTGCGGGCCACGTCATTTAAGCGCCGCGACTTGGACCCCAGCCCAGCGGACCGTTATGCAGCGTCCCGGGAACCCAGGGCCGGGGACCACCGCCCAGATCTCGATGCCGCCCCCCAGGGGGTGGGCCCGGCCAGGCCACCCTCATCCGGAGGGGGCCCGTCCCACGTGGCCCGCATTGGGGGCCGGAAGCGGTTCACGGTGGAGCAGAAACTGAAGTCGTACTCGGAGCCGGAGAAGATGAATGAGGTGGGGCTCTCGGGGGATCACTGCCCCCGCCAGCACTCCGAGGACACCGTGGGGACGTTCGCCGACAGGTGGAAGTTTTTCGAGGAGACCAGCAGGCTGGTTCCGCAGAGGCCCAGGTCGAGGCAGGCGCTCCCTGGGGTCCCGAAGGAGAAGCCGGACAGGCCGCGGGCCACGCGCCTCGGGGACCAGGGCGCCGAGCCTCGGCCCCAGGACAGGGCCCGCACCACCTCCTTTGGAGAAAACGCCGATGGTCCCAGGAAAGCAGGAAGGACCGGGAAATCGGAACCGCCCCAGAGGCTCGGGACCTTTGCAGAGTATCAAGCCTCTTGGAGGAAACAGAGCAAAGGCCCGGAAGCCAGGGGCTCGGGGAGGTACCACTCAGCTGACGACATCCTGGACGTGGGCCTGGACCAACAGGAGAGGCTGCAGTATGTTCACGAGAGGTCACGGTCATCGCCCTCCACAGACCTCTACAAACAGGTGAGTGGTACACTCGGGCAAGCTCATGGTCGCCCCCACTGCTGTCTTTTATTTTAAAAATTTTTTATTGAATTCAGAGAGGAAGGGAGAGGGAGAGAGAAAAACATCAGTGATGAGAGAGAATCATCAATCGGCTGCCTCCTGTATGCTCCCCACTGGGAATTGAACCCGCAACCTGGGCATATGCCCTGACCGGGAATCAAACTCTGACCTCCTGGTTCATAGGTCGATGCTCAACCACTGAGCCATGCCGGCCGGGCTGGACCGCTGTCTTAGGGACCTATAGGGCTCCCCCCAAATATAATGGGCCAGCGCCAGCATGATTTGCATCCACTCATTGCAGCATCGATGGTGCTGTTTTAGCATCCATTTGTGTGAAAGGGATCTGGGGCGACCTCGGCTTGTTCACGGTGGTTTTAGGTGTCGTGATTCACCCACAGCGGGGGTCCCCAGCCCCTCTCTGGCTGCAGCTGTCTCCCTCTCCCTCAGCAGCTTGTCTCTGCCTTATTTCCGAGCAAAGAACTTGGGGGAAACTGTAGAAAATGACAAGTTGTCCTCTGAAATGAAGAGTGGTTTTTAAACGTGGGTGGCATTTAATCATTTAATATTTTTATTTATTTTTGATTTTTTGATTTTTTAAATATATTTCTTTATTGATTTCAGAGAGAGAGGGAGAGAGAGAGAGAGAAACATCAATGATGTGAGAGAAACATTGATCGGCTGCCTCCTGCACGCCCCCTACTGGGGATCGAGCCCACAACCCGGGCATGTGCCCTTGGCCGGAATCGAACCTGGGACCCTTCAGTCCGCAGCCGATGCTCTATCCACTGAGCCAAACCGGCCAGGGCTAATCATTTAATATTTTTAGTATCTGTTCTTTTTAGTAATTTTCCCCCAAAATATTTTTAAAGATTGCTCTCAGGCAAATGTAATTAAAAAGCCATGCAGCCCTGATCAGTGAGGCTCAGCTAGTTGAGCATCGTCCCGTGCACCAAAAAGATCGCTGGTTCGATTTCTGGTCAGGGCACATGCCCAGGTTGTGGGTTTAGTCCCTGGCTGGGGTGCAAACAGGAGGCAACCAATCTGTTTCTCTCTCACATCGATGTCTCTCTCTCTCTCTCTCTCTCTCTCTCTCTCTCTCTCCCTCTCTCCCCATTCCTCTATCTCTGAAATCAATAAAAACATTTTTTTAAAGGCATTGCATCATGACACTATTGCACTATTTTTTTAAGGTAAGAGTTTTGATGGTCAAAGTTGAGGTCAAGTTTCTAGCAAGCTGCATATCTGTGTCCATACTTCGACACCAATAGTTTCTCTCTCCCTCTCTCTGCTTTTTCTGCCTCAAACCTGTACTTGTATATGTCCAGGAACAGATTTCCTGCAGCACCAGGTGCAGTTTCTTTTTAAAAGAACCAGCAGTAAAGCCTGGCTGGTGTGGCTCAGTGGTTGAGCATCAACCTATGAACCAAGAGGTCACGGTTCAATTTTGGGTCAGAGCACATGCCCAGGTTGTGGGCTCGATCCCAAGTAGGGGACATGGGGGAGGCAGCCAATCGATGATTCTCTCTCATCATGGCTGTTTCTCTCTCTCTCTCCCTCTTCCTGCCTCTCTGAAATCAATAACAATATATTTTTAAAAAGAGAACTGCAGTAGGATATCGCACAGCATTCAGGGTGTGTGTGTGTGTGTGGAGAGACTGGGTTCTGGAAGGCCGGGGACTTCGGGAGCGTGTGTTTCTGCCCTGGAGGTGCCCTGGCCTGCAGCCCGCACAGCGTGACCCGTGAGAAGTCCCTGCTCGCTCAGTCAGGAGACGAGGATCCCATAGGCTGGCAAGTCCTGGGCTCGAGGCTTCGCCCCAGTGAGTCAGGACCAGCCGGTTGGGGTTTTTTGGCCAGTGTGCCCCGCGGCGTTACAGCCCTCGTGTAGGAGTTCTGCTTCCTGCCCAGGACTGCGGTGGACGTGGGTCTGATGTGTTTTTTAAAAATATATTTTTATTGACTTCAGAGAGGAAGGGAAAGGGAGAGAGAGAAACATCAGTGATGAGGGAGAATCACTGATTGGCTGCCTCCTGCACGCTCCCCGACTGGGGATTGAGCCTGCAACCGGGGCATGTGCCCTTGACCAGAATCGAACCTGGGACCCTTCAGTCTGCAGGCCAACGTTCTACCTACTGAGCCAAACCGGCCAGGGCGGTCTGATGGGGTTTTGGTGCAGCTCTGAGGAGGGCGAGCTCGGTGTGGGGACCAGCCCGCAGGCTCGCAGGGCGCACCCACAGTGAGGGTTGGTAATAATGGATGTCTGGGAGAAGGCGGCCGATGACTCGGTCTCCCTGTGCTGCCCGTGGCAGGAGGCGCCCATCGAGCCGAGGCGACAAGCGGAGGACCCTGGCGAGCACAGAGAACATCCCTCCACAGTCCCGGCCGAGGATGGGGGTCCCGCCCCGAGGTAGGCAAACTTGGGGAGGGGTGACAAAGATGGCTTCTGGGGTGTGTGTTTCTTTATGGTGGTGAACGCCTGGCTAAACAGGGTTGGGCATCTGGGTTTGTCCAAACCTGAAGGGGCTGCTAACTGGGCGATCCAGTGTCCCCCGGGTGGGAGGGCGTCCCAAGGCAGGGATGCCCTCGAATGCCATCATGGTATTTTTGGTTCTGAAAAGGGCTGCTGTGTTTTCCGTACAGGGAGGTGCTTTTTTGCTAATAGAAGAGGAAACCCCCCGTGGGGCCGAGCGCCAATGAAGATGCCTTTCCTCTGGCCAGCCCGCTGGGGGGGGCATTTAGTAAGACGAGTGCACAAGCTGGGGGTGCTGGGCGAAGTCAGAGTTGCTCGGAGGGTTGTCAGTCAGAAAAGGAGCAGGGCGAGCCTCTCTGATGGGATGTATTTTTATTTTAACTTTTAAATAATTGTATTGACTTCAGACGGCAAGGAGACGGAGAGCTGAGAGAGAGAGAGAGAGAGAGAGAGAGAGAGAGAGAGAGAGAAACATCAATGATGTGAAAGAATCAGTGATCAGCTGCTTCCCTGCGTGCCCCCTAATGGGGATCGAGCCCACAACCCAGGCATGTGCCCTTGACTGGAATTGAACCTGGGACCCTTCAGTCCACAGGCCAATGCTCTATGCACTGAGCCAAATCGGCTAGGGCTTGTTTTAATTTAAAAATATATATATTTTTATTGATTTCAGAGAGGAAAGGAGAGGGAGAGAGAGAGAAACCTCAATGATGAGAGAAAATCATTGATCGGCTGCCTCCTACACACCCCACACTGGGGATCGAGCCCGCAACCTGGACATGTGCCCTGACCTGGAATCGAACCATGACCTCCTGGTTCAGAGGTCGATGCTCAACCACTGAGCCACGCCGGCTGGGCGAGGGTTTGTGTTTTGAAGCTGCTGTGCTGTGAGGCGTCTTCAGGATCGGCTGTGATGTACACACTGCGTGTGTGATGTGCACACTGTGTGTGTGATGTACACACTGCGTGTGTTGCCAGGGCTCTGACGTGGTGAAAGGGTCCAGTGAAGGGGGAGGGTCCTGGGCTGCATTTGTCACGGGTGTCTTTGAGCAGACTGCCTAACCACTCTGAAGAAATTAGTTCCAGAAGTTTCTGCTTTGGGGCTATACACCGGCAATTTGCAGGACTGTGGGTGCTGTTAGAGCGCGAGCCTCAGTGAAATTCTAGGCTAGGAATGTGGAGGCGTCGTTTCCAACTTTTCTTGGCGAGAGTTTAGCTTCTGAAGTGTTGGCAAGAGGGAGTGCCTGGGAACATCGCGCTGTGGGATAAAAGCAGCAAAAATTCAGGCAAAGGCCGGTCTGACGAACACAAAGCCTCTGCCGCAGAGATTCCAGGCGCTCGGCGTTGCCCATCAGCTTAAGGTAACGTAACCGTGTCTGAATGAAGAGTAAACTGCAGATCTGATGCGCAGCACGAGACAATGAAAAGTGGTTTTTGTTGTACTTTGTTGGGATGACAGAAGAGCGGCAAGATAAGAATTATTGTTTGTTCATGCGACCTGAGCCTATTTTTGTGGGGTTCAGGATTCTGTGTTCTTTTACATTTTATTTTATTGATGGATTGATTTGAGAGAGAGAGAGATATCACTGTGAGAGGGAAACATCCTAAGCACCCTGACCAGGGACTGAACTCACAACCCAGGCATGTATCCTGACTGGGAATCGAACCGGTGACTCAACCAACCGAGCCACAGGGGCCAGGGCTATTTTTAAAAAATATTTTGTCTTATTCAAAATGAGACTGTGCATCACTCAAGGGGTAATTATGCCTCACTCTAGTCTGAGAAACGCAGCTCTGGCTCAGAGGCTGACGAACTAGGATGGTCCATCTTCTGGCTTTGGGGAGCACTGTGCCTGCTCGGTGGACTCAGCGGTGCGGTAGTAGCACAGATGCAGCCACAGCCTGTCCATCCAGCAGGCTGTGCCCAGTGAAACCTGACCGAGCAGGTTTGCCGCCCTGGGGTTTGGTTCAGGACGGTAGGCATGGTCTGTGAGGCCGGAATGGCAGTCTGTCCAGACATTTTCAAAGAGGCTTCTTTCATGATTCTCTTGCAATTCAAATCTATTTCTCTTGTGATCTGGATGTTACTGGTCTCCTTTGGTTGTTTGGCTTAGGGACCTTGCATCATCCACCCGAGTGGCCGTGCTTCTCAGGGCGTGAAGGTGAAGGGGCGCGCAGGATGCTGTGAGTTGAGGGTGCGGGGTGGGGAGCCCCTGAGAACCCGAGGGCGGGCATGGCGCTCAATTCAGGTGAAGTGACTTGGGGAAGGTTCGAGGCTTCCCCGAGGCTGCTGGAGAGGCTGGGAGGAAGAGTTCTGTGGGGATGTGTGTGCGCTAGGGTGTTTATTTTCTTCTGTTCCCTCGTTTGTGGAATTGTTCATGGGCACACATGTCCTGTGCCAATTAAAGGCAGATTGGTATGCGATTTATGAGAAGCATTTCCGATGTAAAGTCTTAAGCTCTGAAAGCGCAAGCTATGAAAAGGTTTGAGCGTCTTATAGGCCCTGGTGATTATGCCTCACTCTAAGGAGCAAAAAGTGGTTTGTTTTTAGCAATACCTCAGTGAGGGTCTCCTTTAACAGTGGATTCCTTGAGCGCCACCAGCACCCAGAGCTGGGCTTCTCATATGCTTCTGCAGCGGAAGCAGTCAGGGCTCCCTAGAGGAATGGCTGTCTTTATTATTATTATTATTATTATTTTAAATATATATTTTTTATTGATTTAAGAGAGGAAACGAGAGGGAGAGAGAGATAGAAACATCAATGATGAGAGAGAATCATGAATCGGCTTTCTCCTGCATGCCCCCTACTGGGGGCCGAGCCTGCAACCCGGGCATGTGCCCTTGACCAGAATCGAACCGTGGCCTCCTGGTTCATAGGTGGACGCTCAACCACTGAATCACGCCGGCCGGGCATGGAATGGCTGAGTCTTAGGGCAGGAACCTGGGGTGTCTTGTGCCAAAAAGTGAGGACATACTGACGGGAAGGAAAGATAGAAGGGAGGAAGGGAGGGAAGGAGTGAGGGCGGCAGAAAGAATGTGGGCTTGGCATCAAGGACACAGGTTGAAATCATCATTGTATCAGGCCTAAGCTTGCTTATACATAACTCACATCCCTGGATGGTGGGATGTCCATAGCAACCTTCCTTGCAGACTTATTTAAATGTTTAATGGGATGATATTAATGCATCTGCACACTGCTGAAGATCAAGTAGGATTGAGAAAACCATGAAACAGTCACTCCTACTAAAATAGCAGGCATACGGGAGACACCACAAAGTAGCCGTCTTATTTGGTTCTTATTTGGTTCTTATTTGGTTATGTGAGGAAGAGTCAGAAGTAATGGCTGTGAGCTTAGAAGAGGTTGACAGCAGGTTGAAAAGAGAAAGTCCACCCTGAGGGTTAAGTGCAGGACCCAGGAAGGGTGGGGGCCCTCCGTGGGAAGGGGCTGTTAGGGACTGGGGGGAGGGGCACTTCCTGGGGGAGGGGCGAGACTCTGGGATCTCAGCTGCATGGGGAGGGGAGGGAGGGAGGGAGAGGGGAGGGAGGGGGAGAGGGGACTTTCAATACAGATCATTGTGAGGTGACAGATGGGCTAGCCGGGTCAGCCTGCCACTTCTTTGTCTACTTCCCTCAATGCCTGGGCCACAGTGAAACTCCCGGAAGCACTTGGCTAGTTGTTGTGTGGATTCCATTCCTAAAGAGTGTGTAATAACCCAGAGAAAACACGTAGCTGTGAATCCGCTTTTTAAAAAAGATTTAAATTCTTCATTGTTGAAAGTATTACATATGTCTCCTTTTTCCCCCATTGACCTCTCCCCGGCTGCTTCCCCGGCACCCCCCCCCCCCCCGCCCCCAGGAAATGTCCCCGCCCCCTACTGTTTGTGTCCATTGGTTATGCTTATATGCATGCATACAAGTCCTTTGGTTGATCTCTTACCAACCCCCCTCCCTCCCCCCGCCGAAATCCACTTTTGAATGTTTTAAACTTCATGGTTCCAGCGGACTTGATTAGGGTTGTGGAGTTGAACCGGGTATCTCACACATTATGTGATTATGTAGCTTCGTTCATAGAGAAAGCATGTAAAATTCATGCAGTCATGGAGGGACCTGGAGAGTAGCATGCTAAGTGAAATAAGTTCGTCAGAGAAAGACAAGTATCACATGATCTCACTCATATGTGGAATCTAATAAACAAAATAAACTTATGAGCAAAACAGATCCAGAGACACAGAAGCATGGGACAGAGTGCGAATCTCAGAGAGAAGGTGGGGCGTGGGTGTCAACCAAAGACCTTGTATGCAAATATGCATGGCCCATGGACACACACACGAGGGTGGTGAAGGCCTGGCGGGGGGCGGGCCGGGCTGGAGGGGGTCCATGGAGGGAAAGGGGACATATGTAATCCTTTCAACAATAAAGATAGAAAATAAAATAAAATTCATGCAGTCAGCTCTTCTCTAGTTCCCTCTTCTAAATTATAAAAAGGACGCCACCCAAGCTTTGGGGTTGAAGCGTAGAAGCCTTGGGAACGCCCCCCTGGGGTCAGGAGTTGCCGGTGTAGTAACTGAAGTGCAAGGGCGCCTGAGTCACGGAGGTGCGAGGCGAGGAGCCTGCGTGGACTTGCCCGTCACGAGGCAGCAGGCGCAGGCAGGCCCCGTGGGGAGCAGACAGGCCGCCGTGGGGAGCAGACAGGCCGCTTCCAGGCTCCGGGCTGATCGCTGATCGGGGTCCCTGAAGGCAGCACAGCAGGCGGAGGCTCCTCGGGTAAGAGTGCTGCGTCCTGAGGCGTCCCCTGCCGTGCGGTGCGCGGGGCTGGGGCTCCCAGGGCCTCTTTTGTTCTCGGGCTGTCGGAGCGGCTTGCGGCTCGCGGTGCAGTGCGGGGGATCCGCGCACATTCTCCTTGCTTATTGTTCCGCCTGAAGATGTGAAATCCCGCA